ATGCTCAAAATTTCAGGACGTACTCGCCATATGTTGATGTGTGCCAGTGTACTTCAGCGTGCTCATAACTTGTCCAGCGTTTCTGCAAGATGTCAGTCATACGCTGGTCTAAATCATCAAGGTGCGACAGGGGTTTTACTTTTATTTAAGAGAAAAATTATTTTCCAATAGGAATTGCTCTAATGTTTCTCATAAGAACCCTGATATTTGGCACACTGCCTCCTGCCTACTTTTCCCTTGTAAATAATTAGCTTTGGTTTAGATAACCAATGCAAACATGAGGAGAATTTATAGCAGGGCTCGATGTTAACCATCGCCCGATCGCCCGGGGCAAGTAGTTTTTATTGTCAGGAGAGAACAAATTTCATTGCATTTGCCTGCCAGGCAATGATCGCAAAAATAAAAAAAATTATCACTCAGAAACACTTTAAAATCACTGACATTCGCTGAAAACGACCCAGAAGTGTTGCCGACGCCATTTTTGTTGTTTTGTACACATTCTCGCGTGATTTGAGAAAGCTGCGTGATTTTCAGCGAGATGGCGTGATTTCTGTCGGGGAATTGGCGTCACAGAAGCGGTGGAGAACTGGTGGAAAGATGGTGATAGAGCCAAACGACCAGGATTCAGCTCTTGGGGAGAGAATTCTGCAGAGCAGCAGCTGGATGATGAATTTAATCTATACTATAATACATGCTAGATTAAAAATTATCAGTCAGGGATTAGGAAAATAATAATAATAATTGTATGCGCACAGTGTAAATATTCATCATATGGCAGTCTTCTGTACAGTGATGCAGGTCATACATTAAAAAATTTTCATTAAATGTTTTCCTCTTAGACATTGGAGTGGTGCATTTAAATGTTATAGAACTAAACATGTTAAATTGGTGAGTAGTAGGAGTGTAAGTTTTTAACCTGTCAAGTTTTTTTAGATTTTTTTAAATTACAATTTATATTTTTCCAAGCACACAACAGTTTAAAGCAAAGTTTAGTTTGTAAAGAATGTGCAGGAAGGATTGAAAGGGCTGTAAGCCCAAATTACATGTGATACATTATTTAAAAGCTAACGCCTTCTAGTTTCTGAATATATATAAATTATAAAATTGGGTGAGTAGAACACAGACCAAGCTGCATCAGTTCAAACATTAATCAAAGTTGGGTTTTTTTATTCTTGAAAATGATAGGTCATTTTTGAACAGTAATAAAGACATGCTTGAGGAAAGGCAGGTCTCATTGTATTAAATTTGTTCTACATCATGTCAGCCACAAATGCAGAAAATATCAGACCTCTGGCTGCAGCAGTTCCAGAGCTGTAGGACTTTGAACTTTTGGCGTCACCAGCGTCTTCCAAAATCTGTGCCAAATGCTTTTCCTGTGCTTTGCTTTACTATTTGTCCCATAGAAAAACACTGAAGCATTTTGATGACAGCAAAACATTTATGAAGCAAGTATTAACCACTTTTTTCAGAATCAGTGTATATGACAAAATGTAGAATTTTTACAACTATAATAAAATTAAAATCTATAAAAGACAGTGCAACTGCTGCTTTTCAAGCTAAAATAAGCCGCAGTGCCTTTTCTCACCTGTATTTAGTTTTTTCCATCCTTAGGCATTGTAAGAAAACAAAATCAGTGTCCAAACTTTAACAGAAAAGACAGCTTTTATTATTCAGCTTGGAGCTGCCTGCGTTGATCCAGCCGCAGCTGTGTGTGTCTCTCTAACACAAGCACAGTAACACGGCTCCCCTTCATATAACGCAAAATGTCTGTTTCCTCCTCAGTTCAAGAAAAAATTAACTTATTTTAAGAAAAAATGACTTTTTTTTTGTTATTATAAGCACTGTTTTTCTCCCTGAATCTTTCCTGAGCAGAAATTACTCGAAACAAACACTTTATGATGTAAATGTATGAAAAGACTATGAGACACGATGGCGAGTTTAAAAGAATTGATCAGACCAGAGAAATGGTTCGTGTTACGACGGTTATATCATCGTGGTTTGCTTTGTCTGGAAATCTGCCCAGAATAATAGATAAAAACGCGTTTCATACGTCTCCAGGGTCACACTCTGCCACATCATCATCACATCATACACAGGTTGGTTTTAAATGAGGCTCCAGCTGCATCGAGATAACGCAGCGGTCTGGATCAAGGAAAATCCACATGCATGGTGACAAACCTCTCTTTTAAGAATTATCCATTTATGCTCCCATTGCATTTACAAATCTTCTCCTAATTTGATTAAAAACAAAAACCAGGCAGGTATTCAGTTCAATTCAGTTTATTTCTATAGCTCCAATTCACATCATGTCATCTCAGGTCACTTTCCA